CCCTCTCTTCAGGACACCAGGCCAGCCCCACTTGCTGTAATCTGTAATAAACTAGTTCAACAATAGACCTGCTTCCAAACCGCCTACGAACGACTCCCTGAAACTTGACTTTCTAATGGAGAGGCTGCCATGGAATTCTAGGAGCGTAACATTGACATTGTGGGGATCTTTTATGTGGGAGGGAGTAACTGTCAAATAACCAGGGAATTTCCAGCCACTCTGGAGAAGGAGAGCTGAGATGTCATTCCCGAATCCCAGTGCTTTACAATCCGAATCTAATTCTAAAAGACAAAGCCAAAGGGGATTCCTGTGGTGTTTGCCAGAAATATGAAAGCTGATAAGTGGGGGGATGACTGGTTCTACTTTTGGAAAATACGGCAAGTACATCGACTGCTGTGGACTTCCGCAGCTATTATTTTAGAGGTAGCTCCGTGTATGGACGCCAAACTCACCCTGAAGCCATCTGGGGAAGCAGAAAATGCGGTGGAGACGAACAAACATAACCCCACCAGACATGACGTGAGATATATTTCAAAATTCAAAGGATGGGGAAATGTACACACACCTACCAGGCTAGTCAGGTTACTGCTAATATTTTTATGGTGAATTTCACGTTAGAATTTGGTTCCCCTTTGCATCTGGGGAATTGTCGTCTTGCACATAAAAACGAATGGAAACTTCTGCGATGGCTCAGTGAGCTCTGCAATGCTCCCGTTCTACGTCACAGGCTTAACTCCAGCTGAGGCTCACACTGCAAGTACCTGCCATCTGCAAGTCCTCCTGAAGGGTCCCGGCTACTGAGGACTCACACGAGGGCCCCTCAGGCCCTCTGTGGCTGGGGCGCGCACCCCTTGCACAGCTCTGGGGGCTGTCAAGTTCAGCTGGGGTTTTCACAATCCCTGTTGGTATCTGCTGGCTGCTGAAATACTTCCCAGAATCAAATTACAGGGTTAAGCGGGTGCGGGGGGTGGGGAATCTCTCAAACAGTAATAGGGAGATGGGGAAGGTACAGGTTGTCAGACAGTGACAACTGGGGAGATGTCAGCATGAACTTCTGTGTTTATTCCTCTACCCCAACTCTCCTAACATCCTCTAGCCTGTTACCAAGCGTCTGGTAAAATACAGCAGTTTCCAACAAGAGCACAGCTGGTGAGCTCTTTCTTCAACTTGTTCGATTACACATGCAAGGTGAAACTCTGTTACCCACAGACAGTGCTAACACCGATGCCAAACTGTTCTACAAGGTTCCTGGAAACTTCTGAGCTTACTGTTTCAGCCTTCCTTCCTGCCTTCCTTCCAACGTACTCATTCATTCACTCACTCATCCACCAAATATTTGTTGCGTATTTCCATGTTCCAGGCACTTGATATATATCGATGACTAGGAGAGTCGTGTCCTTTCCTTTGTGACATTTATTATAATAAACCAAAACCAGAGAATTCATTAAGTTATACCCATTTGGAGAAGCGCCCTGAGGAACCTGATGAGATGCAGGAATGGGGAGCCTGCTGGGAGAGGATGGATCAGGAAGGCCTCTCTGAAAGGGTGGCCAAGACCTAAAGGATGAGAGGGATGGAAGCATGCAGAGTACAGGGAAGAGCACAGCAGACAGAGGGAACAGATATGCAAAGGCTCGTAGGTGGGAGGTAGCTTTAACGGGCTCGGCAGGAAAAAGGCCAGTGGAGATGATGCCTCATGAGGTGAGGGAGAGCTGACGTTGAAGAGGCAAGCACGGAGAGCTTGAGGCCCGGGAGGATGAATGTTATTGTAAGTGCAGTGGGAATCTACTCAAGGGATTTAAGTGGGGAAGACGTGCTCTGACTTATGTCAGACAATGTGTGAAAAACAGATTGAGCTGGAGGAAAGGTGGAAAGGGAGGAAGTACACATGGCAGAAACTGCAAAATGTCTCTCTGTAGCCATTCTCCCCTCCTTCCTAACTCGGAGAACTCCAGTTTTATTGTGGAGAGCAATGGGCCCAGTCAAAAAAGTGTATTTCCCATTTTCCTTGTAGCTCGGCATGGCCACGTGTAATAATTCGGCAAAGCAAGACATAAATTGAAGCCTACTGAGGATCTTTGGGCAAATTTGCTTTCCTGCTCTAAAGGTGCAACCCCTTCCTCTTCCTTTCTTCCTCTCCTTTTTCTTATGTGATTCCAGCTTGTAAAAACAAGATGTGATGGCAGGAGCAACAGGAGCCCTCTTAGACAACTATCTAAGAAGGTTAATATTGATAGTATCACAGAAACCTCAGGCCTGACAGCCTTAAACCACTGAATCAGTGCCAACAAATCTGGGTTTCACTGGGTATAAAAAGAAAATGCTCCATTTGTTAAGATAAAGTTTGCTTGGGTTTTCTATTACTTACAAGTGGACACCATATTTCACTGACATAACAGGCTCTTATCATCGTTCAGGCAGCCTGCACTTGAATGGTGGCAGTGAAAATGAATAAAAGTGGGTCAATTTTGAATGTTGAAACAATGGGATTTCCTGCTGTCCTACATGTGGGCTTTGGTGGTGGGGGATGGTGGGTGTGAAAATTACTTACAGGATTTTGGTCTGCGAATTTATTAAAATGGGAAGGAAAAAACCAAAGGAGGACAGGTGTGAAAGCTAAAAGCAAGAATTTAAATTTTGATGTTTTACAGGTGAGGTACCTTAGTGTTATCTATGACAGTAATCTCCATTCTTGTGGTTTCCATGAGGTGGGATCTTCCTCCAAAATTCCTGGCCCTGCTCTAGCCCTTCATTCTCTTCTTTTTCAGGGAGCAAGTGAACCAGCCTGCCTGTACAGGGTACAGTGGGCCCTTGAACAACGCAGGTTTGAACTGTGCAGGTCCATTTATGTATACTACCATACCGCATCATCCATGCTTGGTTGAATCTGCGGATATGGAACTGGGGACAGGGAGGGCCGACTGTAAAGTTATACTCAGATTTTTCATCCTGCAGAGGGTCCAAGCCCCTAACCCCTGTGTGATGTTCGAGGGTCACCTGTACTCATTCCCGCCTGCTTCTCCACGTGTGATGTGGTACATACGGATACAGGCTCCACAGGAAGAAGCCTGTGGTCCTCGGAGCTGCCTGTGGCTGGATGCTCAACTCCCCAGGTCCAGCATCAGGAAGCCCGTCATCGCTGCAGATCTCAACCCCATTATCCAGTTCAGCTTTTATCAGGAGTAAAACACTGACGTTTGTATCCCCACGTGCTGGACTTCTTTGTCTATCGCTCGTTGGTCTTACACTTAGGTTGGCTTCTACCTGTATAACATTAGACACATCCCATTCTTTCAGCCGCATGATGGGGGGCTTGTTTTTAACAAGTGCTTCTTTCAACGGGTATCGTAAGAAAAAAACAAAATCCCTCTCCTATTCTAATGTGTGGCTGCCTTCCTATCTTCCTTGTGAGAGTCAAGGATTGAGTCTTCCCTGCCCAGTGGGACTGTACGCCGCACAGGAATAAGGATTTATCTCAAACTGATGCTAGTGAGCAAAAGGTAATCAGTGATCATTCTACTGTTCAGGCAGTTGGCTTCTTGCCATAACTTTGCAGGAACTGTATTATTAGAATGGTGTGGCCTTTCCCTCTCTCCCTTTTCTCTGCTACCAATCCACCCTACCCCACCTACTAATCAATTCTCTGCTTCCCTCCTTTAAAAGGTGGTCTGGGTGTTAGTGGACTTTAGCCTAGCCCTAGTAACCCCAACTTCAGAACTGCTGGGCATACACAGTCGGGTAAAAGGTCATTGCCCGCCACCAGGGAATCTAGGTAAGGTGGTCTGACAGTAGTCTCTATGAGATACAGCAGTTCCGTTTTTCCTTTTTTTTCCTACAAAGACAGGGTGTCCCAGGTTGGTCTCATACTGGATATTTGGTCACTTATCAGAGTTTATGTTTGGGAGTTTCCTCACGTGACATTTTACACTGTGGCAAAAATGGTCTTTTGACAACAAAGTCATATAAAACACATTTACAGTTAAGATGCTGGTTTTTCATCCCCTCCTCTCTTTCCATCCTAATGGATACATTATGGCTGGGGTTTACACTGATGAAAGAGGTGATGGGCGTTCTGGCACATGATGCCATTGAAAATAATACGTATTCTCAGAATGAATATGTAAATTGCATATGTTGCCATCCCGTGCGGGGTCCTGCACCTGGTGCGGAATGGAGCGCGGTACCGTTACAAGTGTCATATAATAGCTTTTACCAAGCAAGGGGCACATGAGCAGCTGTGAGGCGTGATGCCACTGTGACATTAACTACAGACGCAGAGTGCCCGGAAAAAAATATATGTCCTTTGTTTTGAATAGAGCCCTGGGTAATTTCCCTAACTATTGTTCTATGAGAAAAAGCCCCGTTTACTCCCTCTCATCAATTTAGGATCTGGACGTGAAAAATCACCGGCATCCAGTGGTTCAGGCAATTTGCTTTCCAAATGAAAAAAAGGGCAAAAAATAATACTGCAGAAAAATCTCTACTCCTGAGTTGCCTGTGTTGACAGCCAAGGCTCACCTCAAATAAAGGATCCTGAGGAGGAGGAGGAGTCTTTCTGACCTTCTTTCTAAACAGAGCCCAAGGACAATGCGTGACAGTGTATTCAGGGGCGGCTTCTACTCTCAGCACGGGGAGGATGTACGGGTCTGGGTGTAGAGCCCGCAGGTGAGGGTGGCCACCCTGCAGGGGCGGTGTGAACTGCAGTGGGTCCAGCAGGCACTGAAGCAGCGTCTGTCTGCCCCGCCCTGGGGGCCAGGCGGGGTGTTCTGAGGAAAAGCTACAGAAATGCTGCTCACCTTGAGAAGTAAGCTCTCAGGGCGGGGTCCGTGTTCCTCCAAGTTGCCACAGGACATGAAATTGCTTATGAGGTTTTGCCATTCGATATGGAGTAAGATGGGAAATTATGGGACTACTTACCCCCAAATGAAAAAAAAAAAAAAGAGTACATAAGAAAAGGCAACGTCGTGACAAAAGAGATGGCCCCCCAAAATCTTACTTACATTGAGTGAGGATCCCGGTTAAGGCATTTTTGAAATTCTCCTTGGCCTCCTCCATCTCCTGCTCATGGGTGGCTTTCTCGTTCATCAGCCGGCGGACATGGCTGTTGGCCGACTGCACCATGGAATAGAACTGGTTTGCGGACCGCCGGTTTACTTCCCCTCGCTCAATCCAGGACAGCAGCACTGTGATGGCCTCTGAAAACTTGCTATCGTCTGGAAATGCAAAACCACCAAGTCCAAATCACGCCCAGGAAAGATTTTGGTTTTCACTTTGGTTCCTCTCTAAAGGCAAAGCACGGTCCATCCTAATGGATATGTTTTCAAAACTTGACCTTGTGAGCTTTCCTGTGACTAATGGCTCCATCATCACTTAGCTTGTCTTCCCACATCTAGCTCCACGGCACTGCACAACCACCCAAGAAACAAAGGGGTGGTTCACCCTCTCAATGAGCTCAGTTTTAGAAGATCTGTTCTGGGCATCCTTTGAAATACGGTACAACTGCGCTCTTCCACCAAACCCAGCTTTCTCCTTCTTAAGACTGGCTCGAAAAACTGTCATTCACCTATTTGGCCTCCAGTTGATTTCTTTATTCTTTCACCAGAAATAGCACACAGTGATACTAGTTTTCTGACTTAGAATCTGTTGAGTTATTGTCAAGATGTGGATGACAGATTAAATTACTTTTAAAAGTGGTTGTGATGTGAGATATTGTTCCCAAGGTGGTAGTAGGAATAGGTCAATTCTTATACTACTGCAGTTCAAAACTAATTTCACTTTAGGTTTAATAGAACATATTTGATTAGGCTGAAAACTAGAATATTTCCTTGTTTTCAGCAAAAGAGGACCTGTTCCGGGGTGGTCCGTGTTTGCCTTGGAAGGCTACTGGAAACCCATTTGAACTTGGTTTGAGGGGTGTGTTGATGGGGGGAGGGGATGGGAGGTTCTACCTGTAAATAAGTGACAAAGTTTATTTCAAAGAAACCAATACACTTGCCCGTTCGCAAATAGTTACTGGAACAGATCTGTGTTTTACGACTGACTTGGAGGTGGAGAAGAAGCAAGTTTGAAGGAGATTAAGTTAACTGGAAGTGGAAGCTGTATGTCAGTTATTACAACGTTAATTGATCCCATTGCTGAAGGCTCACTGCGTATTTTCCAGACAAACTTGAGGAGACGAGCCTTTCATCCCTATTTTTTTACCCCCAAAAAGATGTGATTTAAGAGAAATATCCTAGAAACTAACACAACATTGTAAATTAACTATACTTCAATAAAAATTTTTAAAAAAATCCTACATTTTCCAAGTAAACTGAGTAGAATCTGAGTTCTAAAACTAAGAAGCAAAATTAGACTAAAAGATTCAGATGCTTCTCACGCATTTGACAAATGCTAAGTGACTACCATGTTCCCTCTACTAGAGGGACAGCAGAGACATCCTTGTACACTGTATGTGTATATTCCACTGTTTATATATTATTATATCTTGTGTGCATACGTACACACGCACACATACATACACACTCTAGATGAACAGACAGAGGGTGGTTCACATTTAGTAAAGGAATTTTATTTTATTTTATTTTACTCACCAGAGGTTTTACAATCAACCACCGCTGTTAGTATTTTACACACCATACAAAGTCTGCATTCGCGGAGTGCTTTGTGAATCTGGCGGAGCGCTGTGGGAACACCGTGAGTACCTTTTCTCCCAGAGGCCCCCTTTCAGACCAGGGCACTTCACTGCTGTGGCTGCTTCCTGCCCAGGAGGTACGTGCACTGAGTGAAGGCAGGGTCGCTTGACCCAGCGCCCGTGGATTCTCCAGGATGGAAATCCTGCTGTTGATGGGCCACCGTCCCGGGCCCTCTCCCGCCTGGTGGTGCCCGTCTGGGCTTGGGGATCAAAGCTTTACTCCTGGGCAAACCTGCCCCTTCTGCCCTCACGCTTTGATCCGAGGAGATAAGTGGCCTGGGGAAGGCCCACAGGGCGGCCCGCACGTGAAAGACTCAAGTTTCCTTGCCAATTTCAACCAACCCGCAACTGAGCGCGCACTTGTTCAGCGTCACAGCTGGTTTGCACAGTTTTGTTAACTCTGGAATTTCAGTCTGAGTTCAACCCTCAGTGAACTCCAGCTGCACGGGGTTCTTATTTCATGGACCAGAGCGGCTTGTATAAGATAGAATCCATCACACAACTTAACACTGCGTTCAACCCGTGGAGAGGCCCATAATTCAGCATTATGCTTGTGGGAGCCCCACTGCGACCCTTACAGTCAGAATAAATTCTGCCTCTCTCCCTCTCTCTGCATCTCTGCAGATATGTGTTAGGAGAATGGGCCTCCGAAAAGACGCAGAAATCAACCTAATGCTTATAAGAAATCTTTTCTTTTTTTTCTCCCCCTCTTAAAAAATAACAACAACAGAAAAGAGAACTCTGACTTCATGAACCATATTTCCCCCTTGCTGTGACTTGCATCTCTATGTAACACAGAGAAAAATCCTAGACGTTTTCATTATGGGGCTTCCAAGGAGAGAGAGAGTGAGCAACGGGGTCCCATCTTTCTTTCTCCCTCGCAGGGGCACAGTTTTTTCTTCTCTTGCTTGTGGTTACGCAGTTCATAAATACCCTAATTTACTGTCAGGAAGAACACACTTAAATTTTTAAAATGCATGTTTCCTTGAATGACCTAAGAGCCAATTTTTATCGTTCTTCACTCTTAGACCTAAAGCATAAGTTCACCAGATCAGAGCTAATTGATAGTTTTCAGAAAGAGAGACAGCAATTTTAGGATTAAGCAACTGAAAATACACAGCTGAAAAAGTAAGCAGGCAAGAGACTTTCTAACACTGTAACAAGTAATAGTAGGCAGAATTCCATTTTCTCAGTATATATGAATAAAATAAAATATACATTATATACTGTATATATCTCATATATACATATATATATCGCTTAGTACATAGTTTTGAAAACTCCCGATTTCATCCTCGTTTCTGAACTTTCTGAGGCGGGCTGGTGGATGACTGATGTACTGATGTTCAAATTAACCGTGAAAACATTAGCTAACGAATGACTGGTTAAGTCTAGTCGATGTCTGTTGCCATGTAAGACGTGACTTTATATTAAATGAAGACGAAGCCAGCAGCTCCCCCTGAACGGCTACAGGAGGGTGTTGGGAGCGGTCATTTTCAATACCCAAATGAAAACTCAATTCTGGATTCAGGGGAAAGATCACAGAGAAAACAGAAAACAATATAAACTAATTTAAACAGGATTTAGATTGAGGCACTCTTAAAGCTATTCATGCGGAAATAAATTAACACGGCTCATAAAAATCACATCAAAGACGCACTTATAAAAATTCCAAATACTTTCTGTGAACATGCGCGGGTTCAACTCTGAACATGGGTGCCCTTCAGAAACTAGAATGTGCAGACATGCCTTCTCCACACAAAGAATTGGGAAAATTGGCATATTTTGGAGTGACTATGGACCATTTGCTCATTAAAAATTGCCCAATGTTTTCTAATCAGCGTCTTCACAATGTCACACCTGGGCTACTGCAACTGTTTGCTCCATGGCCTCCCTCGAGCTGCAGTTTCCCCTTCAATCCGTTCGCCATTCCTTTGTCACACTCCTCTTTGTTAAGGACCATGGCCTTGTCTCCCCGCTTTAGCATGTACTGTGCACTCATCCTAGGGGCCCCGGAACTCCTGGTCTACCTGGCTAACTGTGAATGCTTCCCTCAAGAGTCAGCCTAAGTGCCTTTCATAAAGGAAGCTTTTCTGCAACCCTAACATGAATTCGGTGTCCCTTTGCTACGTTTCCACAATTCCCTACATATCCTGCTATGAAAACATTAGTCACTCTATACAGTAATCATTGGTTCATGTATCCACTGGCCCTCCAGTTCTGAGGGGTCAATGTGAGAAGAAACTGCTCGCTCTGAGTTTTTCCCTTCGTAGTTTCTTTCATTATACTCTATTTCTAATAGATCTGCAGTGCATTAGTACTGGAAAGTTACAGCAAATCCAGTGGTCAAAAGTTGGGAAATACCATTTGATAATAAACATTTTAATTTCAGGTTGAAGAGTGTTTTCACATTGTCTACCAGAGATAAATGTTCTCACGGCACTTAAGCTGGCTGGTCCTTTCATCCTCCAGGCCTCCGAGGTTATTACCGTAAGCAATGAAAGTTAAGAGAGATATCAGATAATTACACAGAAGCAGAGCTTTCCACAGTAAGCTAATCAGCTTATCCAATGACTTAAAAATCTTTTTGAAAGTTTTTTTTTTTTTTTTAAATTCTGGAAGGTAATAACCCTTGCATTTAGCTTTGAATTTAGCTTTTTAATTCTGGGAAGGTGATAACCTTTGTATTCAGCTTCGTGAGGACTAAATAATATTATAATGATGACCACACTTCAGTATCTGAATCCATACCCATCTTATTTCATTTCTCGTCACATCGGAATTTGTCAACCTCCCTCCCTATCCCTCTTCTCCACGTTTACTGAGCACGGGCACGTAGGAGGCATTCTAAAAATTGCACATGGCAACATCTTTGCTAGTCAAAGACCACAAGCATGAGCCTCGTTTGGGGGCTTATCAAAAACGTAGGCTCACCCTACTCAGGCCTCCAGACTCAGAATCTGCATCCTAGTCCAAGCGTTTCATATGCACATTGAAACTGGAGAAGCACTAGAAGAAATCACTCAATACAAGCCAGGGAAACTGGTGAGGAGCTCACCTAAGTTAAAAGATAATGAAAACCTGAAATGGAAAGTAGCATCTGAGAGAGTGGCGAATACTGAAAGGCTCTGATGTGATTCTCATGAGCTTTGTGAATCCCTGTCCCCAAACCCTCCACCCCCATTTAAAGAAGAGCTGCTTAAACGTCAGTCATCTTCATCCCAGAAAAAAATGTGAAAAAAAAAATGTCAAAGTCTTGGAAATGGGCACAGAGACTGCAGATCCTTTCGATGGAATGCTGGGCTAGAGGATCCTCTCCACCCGCCTCTGGCATTATCTGATTTTCCAGGGATGTGAATCTCTAATTGTTATTGACTAGGCTATTTTACAACTCTTTAGGGACAGAAGACAAATTGTGAAAAGGCATAACAATGCAAATAATTCTTTTCTGTAACAATGTAAATGAATTTTTGTCCAGAAGAAAATATGTCTTTACAAAGCAAACTCTCTTTTGAACCAGTT